GTGATGGAGAGTTTATAGTCCTCAGTAAAAATTGTGTCAAAACCCTAAAAGGGATGAGTTTGTAAGTAGAAAATAGACTGGAAAGAAGTGAAAGTCTGAACTTACATAACAGCTTGTTCATAACTTTAGGAGTTATACTACAGACGTATTCAAGAAACAAAAACTCCCTCTTTTAGATTCAAAAATAAATAATCAGTTCTTTGTCATGTGGAAAGGATACTATTAATACAACTTGCTTCTCTTCCTTTACCTGCTACTTCACAGTCTCTAGGGGTTCCTTTATAGATGACTAAAATTCCCATGAGCAGTGACGTGGAAGAATAGAGAAAGTTTCTGTTCCTAGAAAGTAGCTTTGGAGGATGCTGAAATTATGAATTGAAGAGACAGACTCACCATGAGGCTAATAAAGCTTAAATTTCAGGGCCCTTAATTTGTATGGGTCTCTTACAAGGCACTCCAAGGAGTTCTGTCAACATGTTTGTGGCCAAATTTTTTTGCAAATTTGGAAAAAGTTTTTTTAAAGTAATTTAAATCTCCATTAGTTAAGAGTTCTGTCTCTTTCTGCTTAGATTTCCCCTCCTTTATTCTTCCCCTCTTGTTGAATGGTGCTGGAAAGGCCATGGGCTTTTTTTAAATCCAGTGAAGAGGCTATACAGGCAATATTCTTTGGAAGATGAATTAGGAGTGCATTTAGTTTGGGCTTAGTGAGACATACGTATGCTGTTTTGTTTAAGACAAAGACATATGCATACATAGACATACGTATGCTATTTTGTTTTTTATGTTAAATAACAAAAACAAAAACAGCTTTACTAAAGTATAATTGATATACAGAAAACTTAATGTACACAATTTGATGAGTTTGTTCATAGGCATACATTCATGAAACCATTGAAGCAGTCAAGGTAATAGACACATCTCTCACCTCTAAAAGTTTACAGGTGTCCCTTTGGGTTTTTTGTTTGTTTGCTATTGTTGTTGTTTTAAGAACATGTAACATGAAATCTACCCTACTACCAAACTTTTAGGTTCACGGTATGGTATTGCTAACTATAGGCACTATGTTATACAGCAGATCTCTAGAATTTATTCATCTGGCATAACTGAAACTTTGTACCCATTGAATAACAACTTCCTGTTTCCCCTTGTCTCATCCCTTGACAACCAACATGATACTCTCTGCTTCTATGAGTTTGACTAAAATTTTAGATACCTCATATAGGTACAGTATTTGTCCTTCTGTAACTGGCTTATTTCGATGTCTTCTAGGTTCATTCATGTTCTCACAAATGGAAGGACTTCCTTGTTTTTTAAAAGGCTGAATAATATTTTTAGTCACTACTGTATATTGTTGGTATTGCTGGCCACCCGGGTTTTGGCAGAAATGCAGCATATCATGTTGCAGTGTATGATGATTTGTCTTTTTTCATTTTTTTTGTATTAACACAGAAACTGATTCTATTCAGAAGACTGAGCCTCTATATCACTTTCCCTTTTAGGCTGAAAAGTTTATTTTTATAGGGAAATAAGCAAAATTTTAAATGTCACTATTCTTTGTTTTATTGGTGGAATTGCTTCTCATAGGGAAAATAATCACATATAATATTTACTGAATGCTTATTACTGTTAACTACTTCCAACTCCATTTTATGGCTGAGGAAACTGAGATATAGGGAAGTTAAATAATTTTGCCAATGCCACACAATGTATAAGTGGCAGACCCAGGATTCAAAGCCAGGAACTCTGGCTTCAATAAGTAACTTAAACCCCCAGGTAACACTGGCTCTTCATTCCTGGGTGAAAAGTCAGAAGACCCTGGGTGTTAGGTCTTTGGGGCTTTAGACAGAGGAGTTATCTTCTCAAGGTCCTCAGGTTTCCTATCAGATGAGTAAATGTAGACTAGAATTTAGTGTTGGTAATTTTGGGGTGATCTCATTACCCCTTTGAATTAGCTATGACCCCTTTCTGTGAGAGAACTGAGGTACTCCAACAATTTATACACATCGATGGACACCCTGAAGCCTGTTCCTTAACCCTTTTTAGATTAAAATCCCCTGGACTAGAAAACATTTAAATTTCTTACCAATCTAATATTCTGCTATCTTAAGAAAAGCTGACTTCTAGTTTATTAGTAACTTCTTAAAAGGGCAAGAGATTACCACCACAGTGATCTATTAAGTGATTGTTCACTATATTCCTTATTGATAGGCTGGTTTGGTTTGTATTCTTTCTCTTGTGACCTTACGATTCCTGAAGCGCTGTTGAAGTCTTTCATTTGAAGACATTTTTTTTTTATTAAAAAAAAATTCAGATACATCTGGATTGAACTACTCTGAAGAAATTATGGTGTTTACCTGAAGCTAATAAAATAATTCTTATTTCCCCAGTAAATGAAATCCGAGAAACAACAAATGTGTCAATACCAAAATCAATTTAAAAAGAATCTACTATGAAACTAGGTTTCTCAAATAAAATGTAGTGTAACAGAAAAGCATTCATTCTGTCTTCCTCCTTACAGGGATACTTTTCATTAGAATGTAAAAATGATGGTAGGTTTTGAAGTCATAAACTTAATATGCAGCAAACTTAATGGCTTTCAAGATCAAAGGATTGAATTTTGATTTAAATGTATGGATTTTTATTACAAAAGCAAAGTATCTCACTAGAAAATAGATCGAGAGACGTTTTGTGTATTCTTTCTCTGTTTTCTAGGGAAATTGCAAAAACATGCATCCGAAATTGTGTAATATTTAGTATAGACCAGCAGGAAACTACCCTGCATAGATATTTTTAAAAATGCACTGGTGCTGTTCTGCCTTTGAGCCAAAATGCATTAATATTTTGGCTCTTTTCTTTGTAAAATTTGGTTGAGAGATTGTTCATTATTGTTGAATTTCAATATGATCTCAAATTAAATGAGGCAAAACTTAAAGTAAAATACACAAAAGAGCAATTAACATGTTATCTCAGTAAGTATATAGAAGAATGNTTTTTTTTGTATTAACACAGAAACTGATTCTATTCAGAAGACTGAGCCTCTATATCACTTTCCCTTTTAGGCTGAAAAGTTTATTTTTATAGGGAAATAAGCAAAATTTTAAATGTCACTATTCTTTGTTTTATTGGTGGAATTGCTTCTCATAGGGAAAATAATCACATATAATATTTACTGAATGCTTATTACTGTTAACTACTTCCAACTCCATTTTATGGCTGAGGAAACTGAGATATAGGGAAGTTAAATAATTTTGCCAATGCCACACAATGTATAAGTGGCAGACCCAGGATTCAAAGCCAGGAACTCTGGCTTCAATAAGTAACTTAAACCCCCAGGTAACACTGGCTCTTCATTCCTGGGTGAAAAGTCAGAAGACCCTGGGTGTTAGGTCTTTGGGGCTTTAGACAGAGGAGTTATCTTCTCAAGGTCCTCAGGTTTCCTATCAGATGAGTAAATGTAGACTAGAATTTAGTGTTGGTAATTTTGGGGTGATCTCATTACCCCTTTGAATTAGCTATGACCCCTTTCTGTGAGAGAACTGAGGTACTCCAACAATTTATACACATCGATGGACACCCTGAAGCCTGTTCCTTAACCCTTTTTAGATTAAAATCCCCTGGACTAGAAAACATTTAAATTTCTTACCAATCTAATATTCTGCTATCTTAAGAAAAGCTGACTTCTAGTTTATTAGTAACTTCTTAAAAGGGCAAGAGATTACCACCACAGTGATCTATTAAGTGATTGTTCACTATATTCCTTATTGATAGGCTGGTTTGGTTTGTATTCTTTCTCTTGTGACCTTACGATTCCTGAAGCGCTGTTGAAGTCTTTCATTTGAAGACATTTTTTTTTTATTAAAAAAAAATTCAGATACATCTGGATTGAACTACTCTGAAGAAATTATGGTGTTTACCTGAAGCTAATAAAATAATTCTTATTTCCCCAGTAAATGAAATCCGAGAAACAACAAATGTGTCAATACCAAAATCAATTTAAAAAGAATCTACTATGAAACTAGGTTTCTCAAATAAAATGTAGTGTAACAGAAAAGCATTCATTCTGTCTTCCTCCTTACAGGGATACTTTTCATTAGAATGTAAAAATGATGGTAGGTTTTGAAGTCATAAACTTAATATGCAGCAAACTTAATGGCTTTCAAGATCAAAGGATTGAATTTTGATTTAAATGTATGGATTTTTATTACAAAAGCAAAGTATCTCACTAGAAAATAGATCGAGAGACGTTTTGTGTATTCTTTCTCTGTTTTCTAGGGAAATTGCAAAAACATGCATCCGAAATTGTGTAATATTTAGTATAGACCAGCAGGAAACTACCCTGCATAGATATTTTTAAAAATGCACTGGTGCTGTTCTGCCTTTGAGCCAAAATGCATTAATATTTTGGCTCTTTTCTTTGTAAAATTTGGTTGAGAGATTGTTCATTATTGTTGAATTTCAATATGATCTCAAATTAAATGAGGCAAAACTTAATAAAGTAAAATACACAAAAGAGCAATTAACATGTTATCTCAGTAAGTATATAGAAGAATGAAAGAACATACTGTTCTACACTGTAGTGTGTAATTAAGATGTAGTCATAAATCAGGGAAATATTAGTAAAATACACAAAAGAGCAATTAACATGTTATCTCAGTAAGTATATAGAAGAATGAGAACATACTGTTCTACACTGTAGTGTGTAATTAAGATGTAGTCATAAATCAGGGAAATATTAAAACTTGTTTAGGTGCACAGGTGGCTTTTAGAAAGATTGATTAGCTCCTCCTGCCCCCTTGAGATGCAAGTTCGTAGTTATTCCTGCAAAATTAAACAGAATAATTTCTCAAACTTCCCACAGTATGTGTGTTTCAATGCAAACAGCATGCTGCAGATAAATGTTCGCAAAGCATCCATCCCCTTGTCTGTTTCTGTTCCAGATGCTCTCTATGATGTCATCACTGTGGGAGCCCCAGCTGCCCATTTTCAGGGATTTAAGAATGGTGGTCTTCGGAAACTACTCCACAGATTTGAAACAGAAAGAAGAAAGTAAGTAAAGATTGGAGGAAAGCACACATTCCATTAATGATATTATCTTTCCCTTGGGAAATGCATATACAAGGTTAGGATAAAGAAACTTAATCCATCACGATGAGTAGTTCTTGACATCTTCAATACATTCAGTAACCTAAAGGTGTTTAATTTCTCCAAACTATTTGAGCAGAAATGAAATGAGAGTAAACAAAATGCCTGAGTGTGTTGCTTATGGAGTAACAATGTGCTGGCAGAAAATTTTTCTGGAAGCCATGTTTCTAAGAAAGAGGTGTTACTCTGGCATAAACCATTGCTCACTCAGTAGAATGGTGTTCAGACAGAGATTTAGCTACAAACATACTCTCATTTAACTGTGGAGTTCAAGACACTTAATGGAGAACGCGGGTCCTAATTTATGACTCTGACCCTACTAATAATTTCTGCTGTGGCCTGAGACAGGGCATGTTAAAAAACTCCATCATTTAATTATGCCATTTGAAAAGAGACATCAATACACAACTCTATCAGTGAAGTGATGAGATTGAATGAGAAAACTTTCTATTCCTTAGGGAAAAGGCATGACACAAAAACTACAGTATTAATGCTGCTATTTATAATTTTAATATGCCCTTTCTCCTTTTTTATTTTTAGCTACTTTTAAATACCACTTTATGAAGCTTTTGCATCCATAGTTTATCTCCCTCTCCCATGTCCTATCCAGTTGAGCTTATCCTGTAATATTTTCTGGCTATGACTCCACTCATGTAAATCATAATTAGCATTATCCAGGTGGAAAGAATAAACTTTCCTTTTCAAATAGTCACTCATCTTAAATTAAGAACCCACATTTTGAAAGTTAGGGAAAAACATTCACTCTTCAGTCACAGTTGGTTTAGTAATAGTTTAAGAAAATCAGTCTGTGTAGCAAAATCAGAACATTTTTTAAAAATTTTTATTACATTTATTACATATAACATTTTTATTTTGGTTTCCATATATTCGGGGAGAAAGTGTTTAAAGTAAGTTAGAATTGAATAACTGATACACTAAATTATATAAATATATAAACTACCAATACATGTATATTTTTTCTTTTTTTTTTTTTAAAGAATTGACTTTGGTATAATTTTATTAACTCAGCTACAGTCCTTATTTGGATTCTTCAGTTGTTTGTTTGTTCCTTTGCTGGTCGAGAGGGACTGTATTCTGTGAAACTGTATCACACGTAACCATCACCGTAATTATCATATGGAACTGTTCCACCACCACAAAGAAACCTGAGGAGGTTACCCCTTAATA